ACAAGGAACTCATGCAATATTATTCAAAATGGTTGACTCTAGAGAACATTATGCTGAGTGAAATATCCCAGTCACAAAAGGACAGATATTACATGATGCCACTGTTGTAGAATGGGACTGTCCTTGAGGTTGGGGAGAGACTGAGTAAGATGGGTTCAATAATGTATACTGCACTGAAACAGAGGAGGGAAAGAACCGTTTAAAAGAGAGATGTAACTGGGTATTTCTGTCATCACAGGAGACTAGAGCGAGGGCTGCATGGTGGACGGGACCTGGGGGAGGGTTTGTAAAACAATGAAAGAATCTTTTCTTTTACTTATCCATAATTTTTGGACTCATGTACTTATAACTTGTTAGTCAAATTTGTGTCTTCTAGGTTGCAACACCCCCATGATACATCTTGAAGGATATGTACATGTACAGCCAAGCACAATCAATAAGAGTGCATCTGAATTCCAAAATCAATCTCCATAATAGTCTATGTGTTTCCTACTGCCAAAGGGGCCCTTTAGAGTAGTGAGAGAAGATCTTCACCCTGAAAGCCACAGCGTCCCTTTTCAGCAGGAAGTAGCTAAGAGAATACGCCGTCCCCTTTTCCTTATGACTCAGGGTGAAGTCTCTCTCAGGGAGGAGTGATAGGGAATGGCAAAGGACACACTGACAAAGAAGATTAATCAGAACTGGCTTTGACAAGCACTGTGGCATTTGGACAAGAACAAACTGGGAGGAGGGTAGAGAGAATAGTGCAACAATGAATGAGTGGAAGCCCAAAATCTCTGTAAATGTTTATGAAAATTAATAAAATATAATTACAGAAAAAAAAGAAAAGTAAAACTCAAAAAAAAAGGCTCACAGCAAAGTAAAATGAATAAGAATTTTAACACAAAAGAGTCTTATTGTCAAGAGCAAAAATTATATGTGATGAGAGTAAACAATCAATGTATCAATTTATGTTAAATGTCACAGAAGATGCTCAGCTATCACATTTAATATATTAAAATCTTTTAAAATGCCTGTACTTTGAAAAGGAACAAAAGTAAATACAATCGGCTGTATAGGTATACCACATTTTATTCATCCGTTTATCAGTTGATAGACATTTTGGGGTGGGTTGTTATCAATAATGTGGCTATAAACATTTGTTTTACAGGTTTGTATGAACATTTGTTTTCAATTTTTAAAAAAATTGTACATCTAGAACTGAAAATTCTGAGTCATTTAGTAATTCTGTGCTTAACATGTTGGAGGAACTGCCAAACTATTTTCTACAGAACCTGTGGATTAGTTTTAAATAACAAACTGATATAGTATACAATGAGATTATTTCCCTTTCGGTATTGAGAGAAACTGTTGCTGAAATATATTGGTGCAACATTTTTGGTGTTTTCAGTTGATATTTAAACTCGGAAATTAAACCATGATCTTGGGTTGTCAGAAACATCACTCTCCCAGCTCTGAAAGAACAGATGTTTGGGGTTACGTTGGAAACATCATTTTTCATCAGGACCAAATCCAAGTTCTGTGATTTTGAACCTCTGGCAGCCTTCCTAGCCTACCTCGTAAGCGTGAAATCAATCCAACTATTGTGCACAGAAAATTCTGGTGTGCGTGTGACTGTGTTTACGCTCTGAAGAATTTGAGTTGGATGGTCCAGAACGTCTGTATTCAAGGAGCATGACTGTGCCCTACCCCCACCCACACCCCAGCATGTTGCAATATTCCACAAGAATTGAAGTGAACTGAAAAGTTCATTCCAACAACTATTTTAAATGCACTTCTCAGTTGAAACTAGGACTTAGTTGTTTGTGACAATTAGGTCCTTTATAGAGGAAGGAGGACACAATCACCTTTTCTCTACCTTCTCAGCAAGAATCCACCAGACTTGAGTATATTTCCTTAGCTTGCATCTGCCTTTTTCCTGGATACTGTCTTCTGGAAGAGAAAGAAAGCAATAAATCTATTCTTTCAACTTCAGATGTAATTTGGAACACAAAAATATTCCTTCCTAATGTATCCTTCCTGTTTTCTAATTTAACTACTGGCACTGTCATCTACTTAGTGACCCAAAGCAGAAACATCAGTCATCCTCAGAACCTGCTCCTCCTTTCCCCAACTAGCCCACACTACTCATCAAGTCCTGCTGATTCTGCCATCAGAAACCACAAAGAGCTATCATTTCCATTTTGCCCCCACTGTTATCACCGCCATTTACGCTCTGGCCATCCTTTGCCAAAATAACCTTCAAATTGCCTTGTTTGCCACCAGCATTCATTTCCACACAGAAGACAGAGTGAACTCTAAACCACGCAGATCTGATCACCTTCCTGACCCTCTACAGTTCTCCATTGGATACACCTATCGCTCCTGAACTGTGCTCTGTGAAGACTCAGTATGTCTGTGGTCCAGGAGGAGACCTTCAGGTCCCTTTCTCAGATATGACTACGAAGTGCCCCTTTTGTCTATTTACATAATTAATTACCTCCTGAAAAAAGAAAACTTGTTTGACAAGAACTTTCTTTTTATTTTTTTATTTTGTGTGTGTGTGCTGTCAAATCGGGTCTGACTGGTACAGGAGGAGATTGTCCCTCCTTCTCCAGCAGAGGATCTGGTGAACTCAAACTGCATATCTCTGGGATTGCAGTGCAGCTTCTTGCCACTAGGCCACCAGAGCTCCCTGTGAAGAGAACTTTTTAAAAATTATTTGAATGGCTGACCTCCAGTGTGAAGCTTAAATTCTTTGATGTACGTACAAGGACCTTGAAAAAACAGAGCTGTTCCTTCAGATCTGTTCCAAGTCTCTCACTTCCTCCTACTTGTGCCCCCTTGTGTCACTTCCACAGACTAACCCTATCCTACAGTCTCAGGGAACTCCTGGAAGTTTCCCTAAACATATATGCATTGCATTTGTTTCTTTGACAGTGCTCTCTTCTCTCCATAGAACAAATTTTGACCACCCTCTCTGAGAGTCCCACTTAACCCAGCAGCCTAGACATTACCTTCTATGGATATGAATAGATAGGGATTGAACGGCATCGCCCCTGCCAAGCAGCTGGTTTGTTCTGCCACCTGCACTCCCACAGGCCCCTGGGAATGTTGTAGACCTGGACACAATATCTTTTTTCTATATGCTCCTTCATACCCTTGCCATTATAATCTGAGTGATGCAAGGAAAGATTCACATTTCGTTCTTCTCTGTTTCCAGTACCTGGCCCTGAGGAGACAGTCAATAAGTCTTGACAAAATTTCTACTATCAACTATCAGTCAGTCAGTCAACAGCCATGGACTGGCCAGCAGATATGGTGAGGGATGAGGAGGTGACAGGATAAGAGAAATGGGAATGAGAGGCTTCAAGGATTTCTTGGGCTGCTTTGTTGTTATCTACCATTGAGTCAGAACTGAGTCATAGGTGACTCTCCAGCAGGTCTGTAGATAGCAGCCCATCGCAGTGGACCGACTATCCCCTGGACTGCCACACACACACACACACACACACACACACACACACACACACACCCCTTGGAGAAAGAACAGTCAGAATGCTTCTTAGAGGCAAGGATTATAAAGCTTTGTCTCTCATACTTTGGGCATGTTGTTAGGAGAGGCTACTTCTTGGAAAAGGATGATATGCTTTGAAAGGTGGAAAGTCAGTGGGAGAGAGGAAGCCCTCAATGAGATGAATTGACCCAGGAACAGCAGTAATGGGCTCAACTGTGTCACAGATGATGGGGATGGCCCAGGATAGGACAGGGCAGTCCCTGTGAGTCATATTCAGCTCAACAGCATTTTACAACAGCAACAAGTCTCATGGGAGGAGATTGCCTTGAACTCAAAGCACACAGGTTTATGAGTATGTGGAATTTAAGGCCACAGAAGAACACATCTCTTAGGAAGTTGGGGCTAAAACCTTTGGCAGCAATTTAGACATGCTCTAACTAAACATGTATTGAAAAAGCAGACCTCACAGGTCTGTCACTAGAGTAACAACATTCCAGCAGAATTAGTAGAATTAGTCACTAATATGTGGATAAGCTTTCTCCCGTTTTGTCCCCATGAATAGACTTAGTTGATGCTCACAATTATCAGCAGCAGACTAGTAGGGCAGGAAATATTGTTGCCCTCCCTCTACAGAGAGGAGAATAAGCTTAGATTGCCACATTGTTAAGCAGTAGAGACAACACTTAAATGCATACCTTCTGACTCCAATTGTCATCATTTTTTCTAAACGGTCACATTACTTGTTCCTTCAGCACTTGGTTTCATGTGTGTTGCGAAAGCTTACAAGATGGTTCAAATCTGAAGATATGAGGAAAAGTCATTTACAACCTCTCATTGTGTCCTGTGGGTCCTTGGGTAACATAAGTGGTTTCTGTTTGGCCACTACCTGAAAATCGAGTGGTTCAAATTCACCTCACAGTACCACAGAGGATAGGGCTGTCATTCTATTTCCACAAGGCAGCCGCCATGGAAAACTCTATAGAGCAGGAATTCTGTTCTGACTTATGTGGGTCACCATGACACGTGGGTCAGAATTTACTGCCAAATGCGCGCGTGTGTGTTTTATGTAAAGAAAATTTACCACATGCTTCTCTTCACCCAGGGAGCTGTGAGGGCGTAGTCCATAAGGAGTTGTGCTGCTAACCCAAAGGCATTGCTTTTCTGGCAGTTCAAATCCTCCAGCTGCTCCTCAGAAGAAAGGTGGTCAAGATTTACAGTCTCCCAAAACCCGCAGGAAGAACAGCTGTGAGTTGGTTCCAACCTGGTAGCAAGGAGGTTTTTAGTTTTTCATTACTTGATTTAAAAAAAAAAAATTTGTGTGTGTACTGTTACATCGGATCTGGCTGGTACAGGAGGAGATTGCCCCTCCTTCTCCAGGAGAGCATCTGGTGGATTTGAACTATGTACCTCTGGGATTGCAGTGCAGTTTCTTGCCACTAGGCCACCAGAGCTCCCTTTCATGACTTTATTTTTAATGGGTATTGTTTTTCTTTTTCAGATCCCAATAATGAGAGACCCTGGATGGATTAGAAATGTGTGGTCTTCAAATATCAATGTAAGTGAACTTGCTCTAAGTGTTCAAATGGTGCTTTTTCATTTCAAGGCTAGAGAAAACAGTCCATGACAAGCTGTGTTTCCTTGCTATCTTGCGTACCATGGAGTTGAAACTGACTCATAGCTGACCTTCCGGCAGGTTTTCGGAGGCATTTAATAACATGGAAGGAGATTGCCTATCCTTCTTCTGCTGAGCAACAGGTGGCCTCAAATCATGTGCCTTTGGGATTGCAACACAGCTTTTTGCCTCTAGGCCACAGTTATGGGTAATCTCCAAATCGGAATCAAACAGTGCTTTCAGAGTTTGCACCTTTTCGAGGTCTCATAAACCCATGATGGGGAGAACAACATTTTGGCAGGTGCCTTTCCTCTCTTTTCCTGTAATCTAATCTCCCCTGGCAGAAATCTGATAGTCTCATCTGATTAAAAACATTGGACATTTTGACAAGGTCCATATTGGTCCTCTGCCATTTTTTTCTTGCTGAACTCTAACTACTATGAGGGTAGACCTTTTACTGAACCAAAGCTGTTACAGATATAACCCAGTCTTCAAGGCACAGCTCCAGATTCTGCCTCTTCCTCTTGCAACACTCTGTTCCTTTGCGCTGCAGCCCCAGATCTTGCTGCCTTGCGTACAGCTTCCAAGTCTTGGTCTGACACCTTCAGCTTAGCTCTTTGATTGTACGTCATGCTCTGCTCTCATCTTTTCCATCAGAGGGTTTCTTTTTGGATCTCTACAGCCCCTCCACGTCTAGCAGGACTGTACCATTTCTCCTCACCCCTCAAATGTTTCTTCTAGGCTTCTGGGCTCTCTTCATAGATCTGGCTCTCTGAGCTTCTATTATTTGGAAGAACTATTTAACTGAAGCTTCCATGGACCTGATCTCAACCTGCATCTTCAGTTCTTCTCTCATAATCCATTTACCTTACCATTCACTGCACTGTAAGCTTCAGCAACAGCATACAACTTGCTGAGATTCTTTCTTTTAATGCAGACAGTAGTCTTGAGACAATGTATTTTAGGGTAGGAAGGCTCAAGCAAGGACTGTGGAAGTGTCCCAGGAAAGAAATAATAAAAAAAAAAGAAAGAAATAATAAAGCCTGAACTCTTATTTGTCCCTACTGTGACCCTGATCTAAGTCTTGGAGATTTAGAACACAAGAAAAATAGACACTGTCCTCAGAGCTAACAGACTAAAGAAACTATTTGACAGAGCCTAAGCTCAAGATTTGCAGAGAAAGTACTAGAGCTAGCACAACACCAAGCAGAGTGGAGAGTCCTACTTGAGATGAACCCAAAGGCCTCCGATTAAATGGATAAGGGAATGTTGTTAAGAAAGTGAGATATGTAGGGGCTTCGTGCAGAGCACTTCTTTTTCATGGACCAATGAGAGGCCAGGATCCTAACCAGCAGGCAGTTAGTGACAGTTGAGTCTAGAGTGAGCGGAGCCATCTTCTAGAGAAGGGACAAAGAGTCCTGGTAAGTAGTTGAATCCACTTCTTCTGTAGAGAGTACAGGTCCGACAGCTGTGGAGGTGGGCTGAGGCTGCTTCCTGTGACCAACTCTTCCTTCTCCAGATCCTGGGGCTGGAGCCTATGGCCACACAGTTTTTAGCCTCTGGCCCTGTTGTATAACCCCTGCACATAGCAATAACTGCAGTGTAAAACAGAGGCAGGAAAGGAAAGTCAATCATCGGAGACTCTATTGCAAGGTAGAGCGCTCTGCTGGCCTACTGGTAAGGAGATGTACTGCTAACCTGAAAGCATGTAGCTTAAATCTACCAGTTGCTCTGCAGGAGAAAGATGGGCTGTCTGCTCCCGTGTGATTTACTACTTCTGAAAACCTGCTGGGGGATCAGCTAGGAGGAGTCAGATTGATTCAACAGTCTTCAACAATTGCCAGGCTGTGTACTATGTACTTCACAGAGCTTGTTTAAGAGCAAGATGGGAAACAGTGGGCAGGAGACTGGAAACACCACATATCTGCTTCAGGGAAGAGAATCTAGAATATTTGTACCATAACTGGCAAGGGAATTGGTCACAGATCTGTCATTTACAGTACAATGTGACACTGAGCAAGTTATCTAACTTGCGTAAGTTAGAGGCCGATTAGATTATAAACATAAGTGAGAGAAGATCTTCACCCTGAAACCCACAGCGTCCCTTTTCAGCAGGAAGTAGCTAAGAGAATACGCCGTCCCCTTTTCCTTATGACTCAGGGTGAAGTCTCTCTCAGGGAGGAGTGATAGGGAATGGCAAAGGATACACTGACAAAGAAGATTAATCAGAACTGGCTTTGACAAGCACTGTGGCATTTGGACAAGAACAAACTGGGAGGAGGGTAGAGAGAATAGTGCAACAATGAATGAGTGGAAGCCCAAAATCTCTGTAAATGTTTATGAAAATTAATAAAATATAAATATAGGAAAAAAAAAGATTATAAACATAAAGAACTCCCTACTTTTCTAAAAGTATTATAATAAAATAGAAGAGAGGTTCGTAACTCAAATTGAATCAAGTAAGGGAGCTAGGATCCTAAAGCTTCGTCTGACACTGTGGACATGTTGCAAGGAGGGCCCAGTCCTGAGAGATATCATGTTTGGGCGGGTGGAGGGACAGCGCAGGAGAAGATGACCCTGGATGAGATGGATTATTGATTCAGTGACTGGGGTAATGGGAATAGGTGTTTCAGACACAATAAGACTGGCAAGGGATAGAGCAGGTTTTAGGGCTGTTGTACATAGGGTGGCTATGAGTTGCAGGTGACTCGACAGCACGTAACAAGAGATTCAAAAGCAGTTCTACAAAAAAAATTATTCCAAAAGAAGGTGAGAGGTATAGGGAGCCTTGAAAGAGACATAACCATGTTTATGCTGTAGACACAGGAAGTGACACTGTGTTTGGGGAGCTGGAGCCTGTGACTGGAAGAGGAGAGTAGTGCAAAGGAAAATGGAGGACGAGGGGATATAATATCCAGAGGCCCAGACTGATTTCCTAGAGACTTGGGACTTCAGCCTACAGGAAAGATAATAGGGAAAGTGGTACACTGAAGGGTCTTCAATGGAGAATATTGTGTTCAAGCCTTCAGTCAGGTTAAATGCTGAGTAATAGTAGTGGGCCCAGAAGAGTTTATTGCTGACCTTGTTGAAGTTAGAATAATTGTGAAATATCCAGATGGAGGTGTCCAGCAGGCAGTTGGTCTGGAGCCCAGGAGGAAGGTGTGGACTGGAAATACCGAACTTCAGATCAACAGAATAATGGTGTTGTTTGAAGCCTCCAGACTGAGCAAAAACACCCAGGGAGAGTGGACAGTGTGTGAAAGTGGACTGTCTCTGTTGAATAGTCAATGATTTTCATGTTCTATTATTCCTATGGAGTAGATTCATGAGTCTAAAAAATTATATCACGTCAAGAAACCAAAAGGGAAGTACAACAGATCAGGAAGTAAGACTCGAAGTGTCTTTCTCCTTCTGCTAGTTCCTGGGAGCCTCTGCTGAACCCTGCGAAGAAAGTGAAGTACTTTGTAGTTGTTGGGACTTTTTCCACCCATGGGATAGCCAGTCAGTAGAAGAGAGAAGAGGAGTACATGATGACAAAGTGTCATGAAATGTGTCAAATATAGCTAAATGTGTGCTGATCATTACAGAGATGACTAAGTCTTAGAACTAAGAAGTGTTTGAGGGAAGACTTCGAGTGGGTCAGATTCTCATTTTGATGATTCTATCTCAGAATGAAGAAGCCTTAAGAAATACACACTCATCAGCATACCTCCCACCCACCTCCTTTCCTGTGTGTGTGCACATAACTCTACAGGGGGAGGGGGAAGACCTTGAATTCTGAGGGACAGTGGCAATATTACGTTCACAAAGCTCCCCTGCTTTGATCAGGCACTGGCACATTCAGTACCATTCAGTGCATTCAGTTTAGCACATCGTCCCATCTGTCCTGCTGTGTTCATAATGGGCAGTGGCTCCCTCGTGGCCAGCACGTGCTCTGATTGCAACACTTCTAATGAGAGCAATACTTCCCGAAATTCTAAGTCATCCTGGCTCAGTTACTTCAAACCTTTATCTTGCTTTCCCTTGAAACTGCTTGGGATTTTGAAAACGTTTTATGGTAATTTGAGTGAAAGTTGACAGAACAAGTTTATCTGCATTTTGCTTTATGACATTGAGGGAGATCCCCACACTGTTACAGCACTCTCCCCCCACTCCTCCTGTGGGTCATTTCCATTCCTTCTTTTTTTCCTACCCTTTCCTGCCTTCTGAGCTTTAACCCTACGCAGGCGCTGCCCTTTTGACCTGTTACAGTTAATAGTTCTCAGGGATATATATCTCCTAGTATATTGTTCATCTTGTGGGCCTATCCATTTTGTTGTCTTTAAGTACGAAAACAGACTGTATTTAGAATTTGACTTTTTGTGGAGAGTGGGAAGGAGGCAAAACATTGTCTTTTTTGTTGTTGTTAGGTGCCATCATGTTGGGTATGACTCAGCGAATCTGTGAACAACAGACCTGAACCCTTTCCTATCCTGTGACATCCTCATCATCTCTGACACACTTGAGCCCATGGCAGCAGTCACTGTGTCAATCCATTTTCATGGGGTCTTCCTCTCTTTCTCTAACCCTCCACCCTTCCAAGCATGCTATTCCCCTCCCCCACCCCCACCCCCCCGGCAATATTTATTTTGCAAAAGGTCACCATGTGTATAGTTTCCACAATCAAGTAAGAGTTATTGGCTCAGAGTGAAAGCAAGTCTGCTTTCCATCATTAATCTGTTTTCCCTGGAACACGGATTTTTTTTTTAACATTGATTTTTTTTAACTACTTGTTTTTTACTTCTGATAAGTACTTCCATTTTTCAGACTGTGTATGATTGCTATCTCTATTGTACTGACTTACACGTTAATAGATGATTAAATTTATTCCCACAGAGCTTCACACGCAAATGGTGTCTTCTTTTCTTATACTCTCCCATTTGCATATAATGTTATGTTTTCAC